TCTCTCTCTCTCTCTCTCTCTCTCTCTCTCTCTCTCTCTCTCGTGTTGAAGGGATTGATTGTGAGTTGCGTGAGTGTTTTCTTTTCTTTTGATGAGGACATCGCGAGGTCTTTGCAATTGATTGACATGTGGACGAACAAACACCCTTCGATCGGGCGCCAACCTCCTGCACCTCCCGCCTCAACACGGCCTTTTCCTTACAACGAGGAAAGGACACGTGTATGCGAGTGAGACGTATGAGAAGCTGTCGCACAGATCGGCAGGCGATACTACTTCCCTCCGGCCAACCGCTGTTCAGGGTTTGTAGAGGTTGGGTTTGTCATTATCGATACGCACTTCCCACCTTACTCGATATTGTTGCCATTCAACGAGTTGATCGTCATCCCGTGGACGGCAGTGGAACCCCACTGGCCCCGCACTCTATGCACCGAATGCCAGCATTTTGAGCGCTACAAATCCAGGGGTTTCCACTACCATGTGCGGAGTGAAGACGAGCATAAAGAAAGAGCCACGCGGTTGAGACCATCCACGTCGGACTCGGAACTGACCATCGAACGACGACGAGATTTGATACGAAAACGAGACACGCGGAGCGTGCCAAATCCTTTCCGTTCTAAACGACGGGCTGTAGCTCGGTGGGAAGCCCGACAATACTTTTTGGATTGAATTTGAATTTTTCTCTTTTCGCGCCATGCCCGCGCGCGCATTCCGCGACGCGTGAAAGCAATCGACTTGCTTCATTGGACCAACACGGGGGATTTCAGTTCCATCTGTGTCCCCACACTCAATTTCCAAAAATCCTTGGCACACCCCATCTTGCTGCGCCTCCCCTCAGGTCCCCTCCCCTACGAACATCAGCAGACTACCAGATTTTCTCAATATTGAACAGCTTGAGTCTTGAGAAATCTGCCCCCCATCCAAGACTCCGTACCTCTCTTCAGCCTCTATTGGAAATGCACGATTGGTCCTTCGAATTTCAAAGGTACCGGTAGTGCAAGCAAGTAACTGTTTGTCGTCCGGAAAAATGAGTGGTCGACTTTGTAAAACTCTCACCCCTGCTATACCCTTTTTTGGGTAGGTCGCCCACTGCACAAACTTCCCTGCTATACCCTTTTTTGGGTAGTCGCCGACTGCAAAAACTCTCTCCATCTTGACACAGCTATGGCAACCCACTATACCGCAGCCTTGCAAACCAGTTGAAATTTGGATGGTCTCCTGCCTGTCCAGCACACTACTACCATCCGTGGTAGTTTGAAACCGTCCATCTTCACAAGCGGTTCCTGTTCCAAGGCAACCAAGCCCCACAAACCGAAAATTGGAAAAACAGGCAAGCTAACACCAGCCACCCTGCTATTCATGGACAGCCACAGGTGTGTTGCAGATTTCCATGCCTAGCCTACCGGTAGTACTCCCCCTGACCTGTAGGCCGAAGAGCCCAGGGTCAAGGTCCCACTTGCACGGATTAAAAGATTCTGGCCGTTGATCTTTGCTATCTACGGTCAGTATCGCATAATTCGTGTAAATGAGACCTTGCCCCAGGGCTGGAATGCCAGGCAAGGGGTGCCGTCGCAACATTCATGCTTAGGAAGTCTTACCCTTGGGGCCTGCCATGCCTTCGCCCTCACCTTCTCTGATGCTTGCACTTTCTCACACTCTACCGAGGTAGCTGCACCCCCACTTTGCGGTGGCGGCATCTTGGCGGTGAGCCATTATGGGTGATCTTACTTCAAAGGGGGGGTGTAGTCGGTGTTTCCACTTTTTTTTTCCTCTGTTTCCACTTTTTTTCTCTGTCACGTCTGGCGAATCTGACGGTTGAAACGGACTGCAGAGCAGAGCACCACTACATGTAGACCGGAGAGCAGCAGCACTGGGCCCACGCCGCTGGCGTCTGCCCGTAAACAGCAGCCGATCTGAAGCCTGCCCGGGGGCTAGGTCCCACTTGCACCAATTATGCGATATTGACCGTCGATAGCGAAGATCAACGCTAATCCGTGCGAGTGGAACCTTGCCCCGGGTAGCGCCGCGGATGTGGCGATAGCCGATAGCCAATAGCCACGACGAGAGCACGGGCGATTCACTTTGGCTCAAGCGTTTCCGTACTTTCCCGGCAGCAGACCGCATTTTGGATGTGCGCAGGCGCCACGTGTACGTCTTCCCCTTTTGCCTCAGGGACCTCGTCAGGGCGGTCGTTTCTGCGCCGGAAGCGCCTTCGCGGGTTTTGCAGCTGAGCCGATCACCTCTGCGGGCAACAAGGTATGACAGTGACAGAGGTCTTGCCTACGTAGGAACCAGCAACAAGGAGGACGTCGAGGTGGGAGCGGCGGTTCAACCTGGGTTGTCGGTCGGGTCGTCCTACAGGCTCGTTGATGGGTGGATTTATCGAACGGGGAAACAATCTGTTTAATTAATCGGGGAACATTGGACTGAATGGTCCTGCGTTGCGCTCGTGTTTCAAGGAAGAAGATAGTCGCCGTTGAGGGGGATTCACTCAAGTGCAGCCATCGTCGGGGGGGCTGGTCAGCGGGACACTGCCTGTGTCTAGATTACCTATACAGGTGGGAGAAAGAGACTTGTGGAAGAGCAAAGAAGAACGGTGGGGGGCGAGGGGGGGTGTAGGGGCGCCGATCGGGGTTTGACGTGGGGCAGTTAGGGACTTGGAGAGGGGCGAGGTGGGAGTTAAATAGTCGGGCCACGAACTGATGACCTTATCGGGCCGCAGCTCGGTGACAGAGTCGCAATCCAACGGTCAGGAGATGGCGGCGTCCGAAGGCAGACGACCCCACGTTCTCCTCGCAGCGACCGGTAGCGTGGCTGCCATGAAGTTTGCCATCGTGGCGACGGGCATTGCGGAGTTCGCCGACGTCCGGACGGTGGCCACGAAGTCGGGCTTGTTCTTCATCGACCGGTCGGCCTTGCCAGCTAACGTTCCTCTCCTGACTGACGAAGAGGAGTGGAGCAGCTGGAGGAGACTCGGGGATACCGTTCTGCACATCGAGCTTCGGCAATGGGCAGACCTTTTGGTGATAGCTCCTTTGTCGGCGAACACGATGGCGAAGATTGCCAATGGAATGTGTGACAATTTGCTGACTTGCGTGGTGAGGGCGTGGGATTACACCAAGCCGGTGCTTGTTGCCCCTTCCATGAATACGATGATGTGGGATAATCCCTTTTCGGCAAAGCATTTGTCCGTCTTGGACGAATTGGGGGTCAGAGTTGTGCCGCCCATTTCGAAAAAGCTGGCCTGCGGGGAGGTGGGAAATGGCGCCATGGCTGAGCCGGGCATTATCGTGGAGGCTGTGAGGTCGGCCGCGAAGGCTTTGCCGTCTTGCAAGGCGCATTTCCTAAGGCACTAAGATTTCTTCATCTGTGAGAACGCTTGCTTGCCCCGGCCGCTTGCGGTCGCGATTCTCTCTGTTCTTGTTTGCTTCTTCCTCTTCTCCTTCTCTCCTTAAGTCTTTCTTCTTCCAGTTGTTGTCGGTGGTGATGGTGCATCTGCTGTTCTCATCCGATGGCGACTATGCACACCCAGCCTGATGAACTCTTCCTCTCTCTTATCCATCCTATTTTTGAAGTTCCTCGCCCGGCGTACGCCTGCATCCTCCATCCTGGGAGCCCAAGGAGCGAGGGGAGGAGCGAGGGGAGGAGGAAGGGGTCAGGAGGGAAAGGGGAAAAGCGATCAAAGAGAGAAAGGTGGGTGAGGAGCGTGTGTGTGTGTGTGTGTGTGTGTGTGTGTGTGTGTGTGTGTGTGTGTG